AGTTGTAACTTGTAAATTTTTTTTTTTTTTTTTTGAAACATGTAACTTGTAACTAATCAATTTCTTTCTTATTTTAAAAAAATTCAAAACCATTCCAAAAAAAATATTGCAAAAGAAAAAAATAATAATAAACTTAATCAATTCACATACTGAGATATGTGACATATGATTCACATGCATTTTGAAATTTACGAACATACTACATAACTTGTAACTATTGCATGCATTTATATATAAAATTCCCGTCAAAACAAAACATTAAGGAAAATTTGTAAATAATAATCCCAATTTTGCTCCATTTTCTTCAAATAATTCCAATTTTGAATTATTCTAGAATAATCCCAACTTTTAGGGTTTGTTTTTTTTTTCTTCAATCCATTGACCGGTTACATGTTGAATTGTTTTTTTTTTTATTTAGTTTTTTTCTAATTGCCACATGACGCAATTTTACTGGATAAAAAAGAATTCAAAAACAAAAAAGAAATTAAAAAAAAAAGAAGAACAAAAATATAAAAATAAAAATAAAAAAAACCCAACCAAACTTCACGCCCAACCAGAACCTCGACGCCACTAGAACCTTGAGAGGAATTAAGTTTCGTCCACCATCAAAAACTCTAGCCACTAAAGTTTCGCGCGTGGTGGAGGAGGGGCGGATTGGAGTTTTTGGGAGTGGAAGAGGGGTTAGTTCGCTTGGTGTTGCGTGGGGAATAGGAAGGAGTTAAAGAGGGGGGAAATCGGCGACGCCAGCAAGGCATGCAGCGACCACCGGAGGACTAGGCAATGGTGGTGTTAAGGTGAGTCGATGGGGGAAAGGAAGGAGTGCTGGGATTATTTTTTTAGATCAATCAGGACTTGACACGTGTCAAGTTACTTGATATAATAGGTCATTGACTTTTGTTGACCGATTTGGGATTGAAGAAAGAAAACAACCCCTAAAATTGGGATTATTAAAAGAAAATGGAGCAAAGTTGGGATTATTATTTACGAATTTTCTTAACATTTATATATAAATAGAAATCGCCAAGTTGAGAACATGTTTCATAATACATTCTACAAAAATTAAAAAAATTATAAATAACTTACCTTAATTGTCTTACCTGTTTCATAAGTAAAGCCTTGTTTAAGGAAGATAAGCAGCGAATACCCAAACCTCCGAGGCCACGAGGCAGGTGCATGGTATCCCTTTTGACCCAATGCATACCCTTATTATCTGAATGCGCCCAGAAGAAGCGCAGAAGTAGAGAATCAATTTTCCCAGTAACAGAGACCGGTAACTCATAGCAAGCGAGAACATGAGACGCAATGGCCACCAAAATAGAGTTAATGAAAATCAATTTCTGTGATTGGGAAAGCCGCACTGCACTTAAGAAATTAATTCGACCAATTATTTTGTCTATGATGAATTGGAAGTGGTCCTTATTTTTTCCCACGAAATGGATTGGTGCCCCCAGATGATGGTCAAACACCTGGACATGCTTCATCTAAAATATAGCTTTAAACTTAGCCTGAGAAGAGGGCCAAATATTGGGGCTAAACTTAATCAAGGATTTCGCAAAATTAAGCTCCTCCCCAGAAATCTTCGTAAACCGTTGAATGATCTGCATGATATTAGAACAAGAAGTTGGCGTTGCCTGAAAGAAAATAAGAGCATCATCCGCAAAGAATAAATGCGAGATAGAAGGGCACGTTCTGGACAACTTAATTCCCTGAAATTGCTTTAAATCCTGACCCAGGTGCAACATACGAGAGAGAATGTCCATGCAGAACAGGAAAAGATATGGAGAGATAGGATCCCCTTGACGAAGACCACACTGTGGTTTAAAGCTTTCCGAGGTGGTACCGTTGATTAAAGATTTGTAATTAACCGTATCCAGGAATTGCTGGATCATCTGTAACCAACGGGGCAGGAACCTAAAGGCTTGTAAGACCAGCAAAAGAAAACTCCAGTGTAATCTATCATAAGCTTTGCTCATATCAATTTTGATCGAAGCAAGCCAGTTAGTGCCTGTTTTGGAACAGTTGATTTTCTCCATTAACTCATGACTCAGTAAAATATTATCCGTCATAACGCGGCCTTGAACAAAGGCATGTTGAGAATCTGAGATTAAAAGAGGAAGATATTGGCGCAATCTAGCCACCAAGCACTTAGAAGCACACTTCTACACTGTGTTACACAGACTAATAGGACGTAGATGTGCCATTTCTGTTGGGTTACCGATCTTAGGAATCATGACAAGGAGTGACTGATTCCATTCTTTGAGGAGGAACCCTCTCTGAAAGAAACTTTGAATACCTGAAACCACCGATTCTCCCACAACAGCCCAATGAGTTTTGAAAAATTCGACAGTAATTCCATCTGGCCCCGGAGATTTATAGTTTCCTAACGAGAACATGGCACATCGAATCTCAGAAGCTGTGAAGGGGCGCTCCAAATTAGCTATTTGAGAAGAATTGAAACGAGGAAGATCTAACTCCCGTAGGATGGTATCAATTTCCGGATCATAAGGATGCATATTGTCAGTCTTGAAAGTCTTCTTAAGAGATTGCACTACAACGTGCTGAACATTTGTCTGGTCATGTTGGAGAACCCCGGTGTCATCTAGTAAAGAGAAAATTTCATTTTTTTTTCTGACGACATTTGACCTTTGAGAAAAGAAGTTTAGACGGGAAATCTCCTTTCAGGATCCAGTTTTTCTTACAACGTTGTCTCCAAAATTGGAGTTGAAGTAAGATATTGTCCTTTGAGGTAACCACATTTGTCATGTAGAGAGAGGCATCCTGAACCGTGCGAACTAACTCTCCCTCATTGGAGAGATCCTTTGAAAAAGGTTTCCAATCGACACCCCAAAACTTTTTGTTGTCGAGACACCAATTCCTGACTAGTGATTTTACATGTTCCAGATTCTTGGAGAGAACGAACATGGGAGAGCCTGCAAAATGTCTTTCCCATGTAGAGAGAACGAAACCATGTATATCTTGATAGTTCAGACACCAGTTATCCATTTGATATGGACGATTGGACTGTCTTTGCATCGGGGAGTCGTCAAAGAAAATAGTTGCATGATCAGAAATGAGAATAGGTTGGTTGAGTAATCGGCTATCCGGATATTCATGAAACCAGTCTGGGGTCATGTACGCCCTATCCTGGCGCTGTAAAATGAGTTGATCTGCATCCCGATTGTAACCATATTTTAAGAACAAGGAAAGTACTGAAGATGAATTAAAAATAACATGTGTCATCATCATGTGGTAAAAAATTCTCTCCCCGTTTTTTTTTTCAAATTGCTGTTATTAATATCCAGTTAATTTACTATTTCAACTGAACTAATCTAAACTCATTATTTTTTATATAAATTTACACAAACTTTCATATGGCTGGCCACACCATGTGGTCAGCCACAAATTTAATTTTTATTTTTTTAAAAAAAAAAACCTACAGTACACCACTTTCCTTCTTCTCAAGATAGCAATTGGATTTTCTCTCTCCTCTTTTCTTCTACACCACAAATATGGGTTTTCAATTAGGCGAAAATCGAAGATGCTCCTTATCAAATTGTTGCAATTAATGGCCGAAATCATTATTATTGGTCGCTGAAACACTGATTGCCAGTGTATTAGAAGTCGAAATTGTTGTTGCTGGTTGTTTGGTTGCGCAGGGGAAAAGAGCAGGAGGAGTTGTGGTTTAACAATGGAGTTGGGAGGAGGAAGAAGAAGTCAAGAGTGAAGGAATGGGGGCGGAGATTCACTGGACTACTTGGACTACTCGTACTCCCTCGTCAACCGTCATTCCGTCAATGTCGTCATTTCTAGCTACTTTTTTTTCAACACAATTTCCCAGCTACCTGACAGCAATCAAGGAAATATATATGGCATGACTTTTTATTTTGTTTTTATCTTTTTCAACTTATTTTGGGGTCATTTTGCACCCATTCAAATTCATAGATTTTGGAAGTGCGTGAGAAGGGAGATGGTTGATTGTTGTGGTGGTTGGAATTGGTGATTTGGTGCTGCTTTAGTGGTGGAACTGGTGGTTAGGTCAGGGGTTACTAGATCGGAGGGGTTACTAGGTTTGAGGGGTTACTTGGTCATGGGTTACTAGGTAGGTCGGAGGGGTTACTTGGTTAGGGGTTACTAGGTAGGTCGGAGGGGTTACTTGGTTAGGGGTTACTAGGTAGGTCGGAGGGGTTACTTGGTCAGGGGTTATTAGGTGGGTCGAAGGGGTTACTAGGTAGGTCAGAGGGGTTACTTGGTCAGGGGTTACTAGGTAGGTCGGAGGGGTTACTTGGTCCAGGGTTACTAGGTAGGTACGTCGAAGGGGTTACCAGGTCCGAGAGGTTACTAGATCGGAGGGGTTACTTGGTCAGGGATTACTAGGTAGGTCGGAAGGGTTACTAGGTAAGTCAGAGGGGTTACTAGGTTCGAGATTACTAGGTAGGTCGGAGGGGTTACTAGGTAAGTCAGAGGGGTTACTAGGTTCGAGATTACTAGGTAGGTCGGAAGGGTTACTAGGTAAGTCAGAGGGGTTACTAGGTTCGAGATTACTAGGTAGGTCGGAGGGGTTACTTGGTCAAGGGTTACTAGTTACTAGGTAATCAATAGAAGTTACTTAATTAAGGGTTACTTGTATGTTAGTTGGCCACATCGTGTGGCCAGCCACACACAAAACCTACTGTTAAATTTATTATTCTTTTCTTTCTAAAAAGTAAACTTATTATTCAAAAATAAAGTGCCTTGCAGAGGAGAAAGGGCCTGCTAAGCTATTTGCTGTTTATTTCATTTTCAATTAAATATATTATCTCCATATTTGATCAAGAGTTAAATTTTAACCAACACATAGTGATAGACAATTAAATTAACTTTAATAAAATAATATGTAAGTGGGTAGTTGACTAGTTGGAGTATAAAAGAATTATATAAAAAAGATAATAGAATTAATAATTAATTTGAAAAATAATTAATGTGAGAGGAAATAAATAATATAATTTTTTTTTAAAAAAAATCGTATAAGATTTTGGTGAGGATAATGAGATGAGAGAGCTATATAATATTAAAATGTACATTGTTTTTGCCACAAAAAATAAAGTATAAACATATAAAAAAGAAATTAAACAAGACTACATTTGGTAAATGTGATACTTAAAAAACTCAAAGGGAGGAAAACAATAAAGAAAATTTGCTAAAAACCAATGGGGAAAGAGGAAGCACAACTTAACACACCCAAAAAAAAAAAAAAAAAACAAAAAAAAAAACCTATATTAGTTCCTTCCACTAGCCTAGTCCACTACCAGTCATTTAACACTTGAGTGCGCAGCAACTTTGCATCTGTTCCTCGTTATGCACACACAACTCAACTTCTACATTGCCTGAAAATCTGAAATAAATGGAAAAATAATATATTAATTAAATTTACCCTTGTAAAATTAATCACAACATTTATGTGTTTTCAATGTAAAATTTATTGAATAAACACTATCAATAAAATTTGGGTGCGAGTTATCATCTAGATCTATAAGGTGTTATGTTCAACTTTGCTATCTATTTATTATTTTTCAATATTTTATCGAATAAAATTTAAATGACACCGTCTCACACTGACTAAATAGTATCTTGAATAAAAGCTAGAATGTCAATTTAGCTGTTATGATCCTAAGTCCTAACTCTTGAAATTTCCCAACCTAGTTTTTAAGCAAATACAAGAAAATTAATTTGTGCTTTGATTTTTTATTTTTTTATTTTTAAGGAAAATTTGTGGTTCAATTGAGTTGGAAGCTTGGATGAAAAAATAAAATATTTGAAGTAAATACACCTAATATGTATCTTTTTTTTATAAAAAAAAAAGTAGATAAATAATTTATTTAAAAGCAAATAATATAAAAGTATACTCTAGATAATTGTTTAAATATACTCTAGAAAATTGTTTAAAATAAGAAAATTATGACAAAGATGCACTAATTACACTGGTTTATGCGTATTTTAATTGTAAATTCCTAATTATACAGTTTTGAGAGTAAATTTAATGCTTATATATTGACTAATTGATCCCACCCGAAAGTTGAGCAATATTTTATTTTGTATCCACTATTTGGTTTTGCCGCCTTTTAGTCAAGCAGGTTGGACGCATACATGTTCAAATCAAAGAAGTAACACCTTAAATTCAATCATTTTCACAATTTGTTCTTCTTTTTCTATCCTTAATTCCTGAAGTACCGTCACTAATTTATTTTTTTTAATGTGCCTATGATCATTTTCATTAGACACTAAGACGCCACATAATGTGCACGAAATTTAATCTCATAGGTACCATCCTTAAAACCTCAACCATATTAGCTAGAGCTTTTTTTTTTTTTTTTGACTCTTTGTAGCCCTCACTAGGTTTGAGTCGAAAGAAGTACTAAATATATCCGAATTAAAAAAGGCACTTTTTTATATTACTCGGTAATTCCGTTATGCGAAAAATTTACACGAACAAGCTATATATTTGATTCTAGGCCGACGTAAGACATTCAAATTAGCTACACTAAACTATAAATTTTCGCTATGTATGAAGTTAGAAAAGTTAAACTTTATCGGAAAATTCCCATAAAAAATTGATAGTCAAATAGGCGCATTGTATACAGCAAATACCTATTAAAAACAGCTAAAATTTCAAATCAAGTGAAGTTCATATTGGCTTGGCTACCCTAATTTTATCGTGAAATTTATATTGGCTCTTGTCTTGTCTCGGCTCCCAACCCTTAGAATTTATAGTAGTATTTTACTCGATATGGCACATTAACATAAGTTTATTACTATAACATAATTGCTCCTAAATTTGAACCAAACTGTAATTCACATGATTAATCATCGAGTTAAGCATAAGAGACGGGTCTAAGTTTTCTTTAGCCAAATTTTAATTGAATTTTCCTAGAATTAGAAAGATGCCTAGAGACGTAACTAATTTCCAAGAAAAAAAAAAAAAAAAATCTTCAACACAAAACCCTTATAGCTTTGCGTCTCACAAAGTAATAATCCCTCCAATTGACTGAACAAACGCGTAATTTGAAAGAAAAGTTAAGCCTCGCAAATAGATATCTTGCGGTTGAGAAAGGAGTAATTAATTTGATTAAAAACGTTAGTAACTTAATGATCTTTGGATCCATCTGATTAGTTAATTAGAGAGCTTTAACCTTTTGAGCCGATTTAGACTGCCCAACAGAACATTCATATAGACCTGTGTTAAAGTCGAAACAAAATTGCTATTGTTGACTGGCTTAGGGCGGTATTGCGGAAACTGGTGTTGAACCCAAATGGCTAACTGAAAACAGGCAGCTGTTATGGATTATTATCGAGTATTAGGCTATTTTGGTATACACCAAACACCATGCAATCATACAAAACCTTTGATAGTCGGCAAACATTCAAAAATTGGTCAAATTCCGGGTTAATGACTCACTTAAAAAGGAAAATGTAAAATCAGAAACGGTCGCTAACTCTGCGTCCTACGTTGTTTTCGTAACTCATTGCAAGAGGGATAATTAGTGTTGACGAAATACAAGATATATATTTAGTTTTCGCCATTAATTGAAGCACGGGCTAGCTTAGACAGGTAGAAAGTAGCACCACAATAATGAAGTGAGGCAGACACGGTTAATTGGAATAGGTGAATTTGGAATTTACAAAATCCAGTTGTAATTTAGAGCTTAAGTTCAAATATAAAACAAGTAAATTACATGTCCTAAATAAGATCAGAAATTGAAAAGTATCTTAAGTTTTGATAACATTCAATCTTACAGAAAAGGTTTGTTTAGTAAGATTCAGGTTCAAATGTTCAACATATGTGCAGTTAAGCAGAGTTCCGTGTTTTTTTTACATATATGATATATCCATGTTTTAATTAACATTTTTAGAAGTAGAAATACACAGACCTTAGCTAGTTTATGCTATTCGACAAATGCAATCAAACCCGAGATTTACCCTGTTCTTTAGTTCTAATCTTGCTTTTACCATACACATATTCCTGATAAATTATTATAGTCCACTGCAAACATGAAGAAATACAGTAAACTGGCAGTTTTAACAGTTTGCCCAACTCTACTACCCCGTGTTTTCTTGTCCCAAATTGTTTGCTAACAAAACTTGCGACATGCAAATTTGCGTGTCTCAAACTCTTATAGATGTGAAACAATTTGGTATGTCCTACATTATCTTCACTTCCTCTGCCCTAGTCAGTACATGAATTCTGAAATTCCAATCACTAGTAATAATGATAATTTGCAACCCCCCTTCCCCATTTATCTCATCTTATGCTCATTGCCCATAAAAAGAATAACATAGAGGATGCATCTTAACATATAATAAAAACTTGGTATGAAAAAACATTTACAAGTCAATAGTTACAACAAATAGACAAGGTTTACTAATTAGGAGGGCCAAACAAATATAAAATGATCAGCAAAGAATGTAGCTACACAAAAAAACATAAGCAAGATGCACAAAAATAATATAAACAGACTTTTTTTTCAACATGCAAACATCAAATAGACACAAGGAACCTTTATGACATGCTTTCTAGCAGAAACCAAAGGTCACAGACTCACAACATCAGCAATACTAAAAACAAAAGGTATGCAACCAGAGGAGATAACAAAAGGCAATGACTCAAGCAAAAAGGCGACAATGCAGAAATACTCAAAACTCCTTCCCTTACCACTGGTCTGTAATGATACAATGCAATAAGCTTGTTTTGAACTCTTTAATACTTTTTATTTAAGTTCCCCTTATTACCAAAAAAACAAAAAAAACCCCTCCCACCCACCCTTCCCCAAAAATAAGTTAAAAGGGAAAAAACCACTTGTCCACAGAACGAGGAAAAGATTTCCATGAACACCACTGGTAAACAGGAACAGTAGCACAAATAAAACCTAAAGTAAAGGAAAATATCACTAACCAACACCACTAAATTTTAGTACAGTGACTTCAAAAATGTACAAGAAGACTACTGGAAGGTCTTCTCTGTAAAAAGTCTTTATTGTAATAGTTCTCAGAATCCTAAATTTCCACTTTCAACCCACTTTAAGCAGCTAATGACTGCCTTTGTCCCACAACACCAACTATCTCCCAATTTAATAGCAAAACTTCTTCAATAATTCCTCCTATGGATATCTACCACCCCTTTCACACCCATAATCCTGACCTAGACTCAACGTCAGAAATGATCTTGCTTCTTAATAGACCTCCCAGATACAATATATCATCTACTAAAGTCTAAAAGTCTATATTTCCACTTGTAAAATTGCTAGATGACAAATACAATGGTACTACTGCACTAATGTAGCTGCTTTGGCTTATCTACTAAGCTTTCTACTTGAAGTCAAATTAGGCCTGGTATATTTGTATTGTAAAGAGGGGGGTAAGAGAAAGATATGTGAACAACTAATGTCCACACAGCCAACTCTAATTTCCTAACAATAGCAAAAGGTTACCTCGAGGGATTTCAGCCAAGTCAAGTTTAAATGAGAATTATTAATCAACAAAAAAGGCAAGTGTATACACATAACCGTAATTTCATCTAAAAGCATGCTTGTTAAAAAAAACAAATTTCCTAAACCAATCACAATAATGCAGAGTTAACGAATTTGAAGATCTTCACAAGCAAAATTGATCCCCTTCCTCCCCCTGCACAGCTGCCACCCCCCACCCCCACCCCCCCCCCCCCCGACCCAAATGGAAAAAGCACTAGATGATCAGCAAGACCATAATACTCAGGATGTGAGCACAAGCAAAAGAACAACCCAGTTATGACGGCTAACACATAAAAAGAAGCCTTCAACATAGCATAACTTGATGGACTCTAGCAGCTATTGGACTCACAACCCCATAACAATACCGTCCCCCTCCCCCCTATGAGAAAAAAAAAAAAAAAGAAAAGGAAGCATGGACACATGAATCAGAAAAATAAACCACCAATCAGCTACCAACATCTAGCAAAAAAGCAATAATCAGGAAATGCCCAGACAATACCAAAAACGGTTGGATGAGGTGTACCTACCTACCAAATAGAAATATCACTGCTGATTTCCCATATGAGAGCTTGCCTGCTGCTGTTGCTGCTGTATTTGAAGGAGAAGGCTGGCAGCAAACTGTAGAGTGGATTGGTACCGTTGATTTTTGTCAACCTCAACCTCCGATGAGCCTTGACCAACTCCAGATGGCAATGTTTGCGATCTTTCAGGTGGATTTAAAGACTCTGAGTTCATATTTCCATTTGAGGTTGGCACCATAATCTCTGCATGGGAAACATTAGCACCACCAGCTTGATTAGGGTAGAAACCTGGATCACTATGCTGCTGACTTTCTGCTATTCCATAAGAGCCAACAGGTGCTCCATGCATCATCCCATAACCCTTCTGATTATTGTGATCTGAGGGATAATGCTGCATATTTTGCATTGGTGGCACAAACTGTTGGCTTTGTGTTGTAACAGGGTGAACATTAGGAGGCCTAGAAGAAACAGAACTCTGCTCCTGAAAGTTGTACAAAGGATTTTGCATTTGCATATTTGCAGGAGGAACTTGAACAGGGTGACTTCCCATGTTTAAGTTGGATGCGTATGACTGGTAATTATTGACCAGCGGTGCATTAGGATACCCTTGCATCCCAAACTGTTGAGATTGACCAGTTGGATCAATCACTTGAGGCTGTTGGTTCCAATCCTGTGAGAAAGCTCCAATCTCATTTGTTGAATGAGGTTGAGAACGTCCTGTGGTGGAGGGATGTAATTGTGGCTGAGCACTTTGAGCAGTTGAAGATTGGGAATTGGCTGGAAGGAATGCATGAAGTGTAGCAATAAGCTCAGGTGTTAATGTAACTGCAGGTCGTGGTGTTGAAGAAACACCTTCATTAGATTGATTTTGTGAAACAGATGCATTTGGGAAGGATGCTCTTGAATGTGTATCATCATGTACAGCTCTACCATAATCCATATGAACAGCTAACTCTTTTTCAGGAGCTACGTATTCTTGTGTAGGAGGCTCCAACTGGCTCTCTGACTGTTGAATGGGAGGAAGGGGCGGATGTACTGGCTGAGAAAGAGGCGGGACAACTGGGGTTTGCTGAGGCAACTTAAGCACTACTCCATATAACCGCTCAGGGCCATTCACTTTCAGAACATCCGTCAGGAAACCTGATGGCGGGACCAAAAATAATGTGGTCCCATCATCTAATTTAGCCACCCCAGCACGGTCCTTTGAACCAAGATACCTCAGAAATTCAGTATAATTAGCAAAATCATCTTCACTGTCGGGCAAGAAAAAGACAATATCAAACCCAATAGCACCAGCATAATGCTTCGCCAGCATGTCAAGCCCTGTTCTTGCAGAGCAATTAACAGATTGTGGTCTGCAAAGAAAAAAAAACACACATTAAGATACATTACAAACTCGATATCGAGTTCAGAAACATAACTAAATACAGCCACTCTTGTTATAATATTAGTGTGTAAACCAACAATATTGTGACAAATTATTAAAAATAAACAAAAAGACAAATGGATTACGAAATGCATTCAAACCACATAGCACCTTCCAAATGAAAGGCACAATTGTGCAACAGCAACATTGCCAGTATATAGTACTTCCCCAAGCTCACAACAGACAAACAGGCATAAGGGTTACAAGTGACAGATTATGTGAAGATAAAAGGAAATAGGCAACTGAGTTACGAGTGACAAAAGAGCTTACAACCCAAGTTTAATAAATTATTTCACCGTTTAAATGTGGCACTCATCAATCAAAATCTCTCACCAGACATCCAGAAACAAATTGAAACAAAATTAGATATTGTGATAAAGCTATAATACCTAGATGGCTTATATACATATACTAGTAAAAAGAATCAGTGGAAGCTCAGCCAAATATAACCATGTCACAGTACAGGGGAGTAAGTTAAGCCCAAGCTGCACAACCAGATCACCAAGGGGGGAATAACATCAAAGATAACAACTTACTTTTACGAGGAAAGCTTCACTCCTTTACTAATCAATAACTTTATCCTACTGACAGCTCAGTCATCAGATTTAACAGAGGTTAACCATCACACATCTAAAAACTAACAAGCCAATCAGAAAGTTCATCCCAGGACACCTCTTCTACTCTATCTCCTACCCCTCGCAATTACTCTGAAAGTCTGAATTCACACATCCACAATCACCAACTATTACCTCAGCCTCATGAATATCCACACCAACCACAGATGAATAATAAAACATATAAATGAATAAAACCTTCCCTAGTAAGGCCTTCAGTTACTCAAAGCACCATAGACCCAAAACACATTATCCACTAAATAATCACAGGAGCACCTAAACATTGCAAAATCCATAATCCTGCGTAAAGATAGGGTACCTAAATACTACAAAGCTTCTTTATTGCCCCTTATCAGTTTCAAAGTGATGTCCTCTTGAAAGCCTTGACACTCTTGACTCAGGGATGTAAAACAGAAACTAGGCTCCATAAGATAAATTTAATAACAAGCATGTGCAAATGATCAAAGACTATTACACTAATTTAAAGCTAGTGCATCGGATGTCACTGCTAGCTGAGCTCATACGACTCTTAAATGCATCACACATAGAAGCAAATCATACATTGATCTGATGGCTACTGAAAAAAGGGAAATCTCATTTCAACCTATAAAGAGAAAGGTTGGTGTTTGATGTTTTTATTTCAAAAAACTTTCTTTTGATCCCATTACTTGGCTATATGGGTATTTGTTGATTTCTCCCCAAAATCAAAATTCACTTTAATAGTAATCAGAAATATGGAAGAGGAAGATAACTATAGAGAGAGAGATGAATGCTTTGTTTGGATAGCAAAGAAGGAAGGAAAAGAAGGGGAGGGAAAATGGAGGAAGGGAAGGGAAAAGAAAGGGAGGGGGAGGTGATGACTGATGAGCTCCATTTTCCCACCAAATCTCTCCAATTTTGGAGAGATTATAGTTATTAAAGAGAGAGGGAAAATTGATCCCTCCCTCTCCTTCCCCTTCCTTCCCCCAATTTTTTACCCAAACAAGAGATTTTGTCCCCCTCCATTTCTCTTCTCTTCTTTTCCTTCCATTTCTTCCTATCCAAACAAAGTGGAAGTGATAAAAAAAGGAGGATCAAAAGAAGGAGATAGAGAGAGAGGGGGGAACTAGAAAATAAATAAGGGCAGGTTAAAAAAGGATGACCACCAAACAAGTCACTAAAGAAATGGGTTTGATTACTTGATATGATATTATGATTGCACTCCTCCCCCTAATACCTTTCATATCCCTTTTCTATTTAATGGTGAACCAAAGTACCTAACAGACTCATATTCTTTTGACATTCACGAAAAAGCATATCATTAAAACCAGATAAAAATATAATAAAAATGTGGCTGCATCACCACATTCTTTGACATTGTAAGGAATCTTTTAAGATGGCAAAGAATTTAAGCTTTTATGACTGTAATAATAGGCCGCCACAGCCACAAACCATCCACAATGTATGCATAAAAGGATCCACAATTGCATCGTGATTTAAAACTTTAGCTATAAGATTTATAACTGTCCAAGACAAATAGATGAGATTAAACAGCCAATTCTGACAAGAGATGGGTCACCAAAACATAGCTCACAGAAGTTTAATACGTTAAAACAACTATATCAAATGACACCACGCCATATATAAGAAGAAAATCTTACAGTTCACACTCTAGCCCATTTCCCATCGGTATGCATCGAGCATGGCAGACAGGATTGCCACCCTTGGCAATGACACCACGCCATATATAATCTTCACTAGCACGCCCAATAACATTTCCTTTTGCAGCTCCCATTCCAGCAGGACCAGAAGTATAAGGTTGGTCACTTGCAATATATTCATCACCTTTTCCTGTTGGACCACCTATTCTAGACCTCTTTGGTTCCCTAGGGAGCTGGTTTGGATCAAGAACATCCCACCCACTTGTCTTATAAGATGTCCTACCTGGAAAAGAGGGAGGTGGAAGCAGTCCAACAGCAGAAGGAGACGGTTTTCTTTTGTTAGCTGGAGCATTAGCAGTCATTTCAGGCATGGTAGAATGCATATTGGGATCATGAAAATCTGGATTGGGCAATAATGGATCCATACTCCCTCTAGGCCCAAATGGCCGAGGCATACCTGGTCCAAGCACACCATTAGGAGTAGGAGGTCCATGGAAACTGTTTTGCATCATATTACGACTTGAAGGAAATGCATCCATTATGTGAGCAGGTGGTCCAAAAGAAAACTCATTCCCAAACATTTCTGGCCTCTGCCCTCTAAATCCTGGATATGGTGGTCCAAAATCTTTGCCAGGAGCCAAATCACTGTTGGAGAACATTATTGAAATTCGAGGATCATTAAAAAGTCTTCCTTGCAAGGCCTCCTTAGCTCGCCTTGCTTCCTCCACGCTTCTGAATTCTACAAAAGAATAATGTCTTGAAGGGAAACATTTTATTCTCTCAATCTCTCCATGCAGTATCATGGCATTATTCAGCATTTCCTCATCAATCACAACAGAAGGCGGATATCCAACCCATAAAACCTTACTGGGTTGACCCACTTTACGTCCTCCTAATGGTTGAGATGGCTGGGGAAAAAAAAGAAAAGAATATTCACTAAGAGAGTAAGAGTCTTGCAAACCCGTTCACTCGTAAGATTAACTAATAAAGTACTAGATATAACAAGCATATCTTGGGTCTACACAAACCCACATAACTGATGCTAAAAATGATGTTTTAAAGAGTCAGGGAAAAGTTTTATTTGCATAAACACTTCACAGCTTAAGGTTCATACCTGCATTCTCTTGTGTCCTGAAAAAGTAGGCTCAGGGTAATTCCTTGAAATGTCTGGATTAATCCAAGATGGATCAAAACCCCCCATGCCTTTGAATTGTGCACTTCCCGAATCATGGAAATCAGACTGATCCTGCTAGGTGGCAAAATCCAAAACAAGATAATTAGGTCATAAAAAATCACATGTGAATAGGAGAGGGAACTCTCAGAAAATAATTAGTTGTCGGTCAAGCAACCAGTTATGAAAACTAAGCACTTTTTTTTTTTTGAATAGATGAAAACTAAGCACTTCTTGCAAGTAATAACAGAACACTGCTGCAAATTCATGCTAAAGCTACTGTGAAATGAATAAATATAGGATAGAAAACAAGACATACGAGAAAGAGAGAGAAAGAAAGAGAGGAGCGGAATGCAAGCAAGTGTTTGTTCTGCAGTAGTAGAAAGAAATGCAGCACCCATGCAATACATTACAATACCTATTTACAAATGCAAAGCTCAATTTTGAAAGCACTTTTTAAAAGTATATACTAACCCTCTTCGCAGGATGAGATCTTAGAAAATCAACACAAATGTGATCATCACCGATTTGCAAACCATTCACATTCTTCACTGCAGCGGAAGCATCTTCCAACCTCACAAAATCAACAAGTGCAGTATTCCGGTCTCTAATGAACTTTAAATCTTCAATTTTACCAAATTTACTCAACTCTTCCTCTAGCTTTTCCTTAGTGACTGATGGACCAAATCCACCAACCCATACATGCTTGGAGGGCTTAGCCTGCAAGTCCAATGTCTACTATGAAGGTCTAAACACATAAAAAGCTTTAAAAATTTCTATATAATGGACTAAAATAAATTGTAGGCGCAGATAATATAACCAACAAAATTGCATCAAAAGACTAAACAACTCTTTTTAAATCTTTAGTACATGGATTTTTTTATAAAAAATTTACAATTCTCATGATTCCAAGTTATCAGACAGACAGAAGAATACAGAATTGCAACATAAGACCTCCCGTAAGGCAATTTGACAATTAATTGACCTTTGGTGCAGATTGATAAAGGCGAAGACCACGGAATAGACATACGCCCTTATGTTATGCAGTTGCTTTGCACTAGAAAATTAAGTCAACAAATTCATTCGTCGCAAATATGGCATCTTAGCAACAGTTACTTGGGCAATATGAATTGGCATGATATTCCCATTTCCACAAAGATGACAATTCTTAATCTATTTGGCTTTGTTTTATCAATATTGTCAACATAAATAATGGTGGTTGTTCCTAACGATAATAAAACCATGTGGCTATCTTATATTGTGAACGGATAGGCTTTGATTACAGAAACACTACTTATCTACAGTCGCTCAATTGTAAACGCCATTGTGAGTAAAATTGTTAAGCTTATATCATCCAAGGAAGGGCAATTTATAGTTGTTTACTTTGCATTGCATTAACCATTGTAAACAAGGTATTGCATTTTGAATCGAAACACTACTATATATAGCATCCCTAGGTACATTTGACCCCATCCTAACCCATTGGAGTAAAATTGATAGGGTAGATTGCATGAAAAATCAGTGGAAACCACTAAATAAGGATTCATAGTCAACTCAATTATGAGGCTGGTGCAAAGAGAATTGGATCGGAAATTGATGCCATTCAGCATATATACATTCAAGTTGCGCATCAAAATTAATACGGCAAATATGAATTTGATTTCAGATAAGATAAAAAACAGTTCAAAAGTAATGTTAGTCGATTGACTTAGTTGTTAATCTAGGTTACATATGATGTTCCTCTGTGTTACGAAACCCGGGTCTAGTGTAATCTATTTTCGATTTTTCGACTGCAACAAAGTAGTCATAGTTGTTTAATACTCCGCTTGAATAATTTTCATTAATTGACAACAAGATTTATTAGAGATTCGTAGTTTGATCGCCGAGGATTGCGCTGAATGTAACTACAGCAAAACCTAACCCGGAAATAGATTTTATCGCGAATAAACCAATTTAAACGAAAGGATTGTAGCCGAAAATCGGCAGAAATAGATGTTCATTACACTACTGCAAACTATTAACTTCACCTTAATCTACTTCGAGCAAAAATACTTCCTATATACTACAAGATTGATCATCACCAAATCCTCTCTTTCAATTAATCATGCGGCATAAACTAACTATAATCGACGAACCTAATTTGATTGAGATGAGTTTGATATTCGAAACCGGATAATCCGAATACCACGATAATCCCTAATTTATATCTAACTATCATCTAAAATCGAGTTGAATTCGAGATGTTGTCGCAAACAAACAGCAATAAAAACACAAAATTCAAATCCAAATTCAATCAACACAAAATTTATAAAAACAAATTCGATTACAAAAATCCAAAGAAAAGAACAAACCGGTTTGGCAAACTCAATTTTGATTGAATTCCCATTAATTAAAAACCCTTGAAGAGCTTCTTTAGCAGAAACAGCATCTTCAACACGCTTATAGTAAACAAAAGCGTAACTCCTGGAAGCGTAGCAAGTAATTCCGTCAATCAATCCGTATTTCTCGAACAACTCCGTCAACTCAGATTCGGTAACTTCTGGGGCTAAATTTCCGACCCATAGATGACTCGAAGTTGCGTCGAATTCTGAAGCGTAGGGTTGCTTCTTCGGCTTCATCGGCAATGCTTGATTAATTAACTGGGATTCCTTTTTTTTTAAGAGAAAACCCTAGAAATTGGGGGAGAAATTAGGGAGAAGATGAAAATTAGGGTTTGTGATTAGAGAGAGAAAAGAAGGGATCTGAGGAGAGAGAAAGAGTAAGAAGGATGTAAGAGAAGATTGGGTTGGGTTTTGTGTTTATATAGAAAGACGAAACGACGGTGAGTTGGTGGCCGCACAAATTTATTAGCAACCGTTTTATTTTGTTGCAGCCCACTACCAGTCGTGTACTCTATCAGTGTAGCACTGTAGATCGTGTGGTCAATGATTGTCAAACTTCTCGTATACTAATACTCTCCTAATACGGAGTACTCCTACTATTCAGGGTTGATTAGGGTTATGTTTAGTTCACCTTAATCGGTATTTAGTTCAATTTGTATTTTTTAGAAATAAAATGTACCCAAAATCATATCTGAGCAATTGTCGCAACTAGAATAATAGTAATACGCAAATCGAGACTTTTTTGATATGTAAAATTAGGCATTGATAGTTTTTTTTTTTTCTAAAACGACCCTTAAAATCTTTTTGTGGAACTTTTTTAACATGCTAATTGAGAAAAGAAAATTTAATAGATGCAAAGTAAGCCCCACTAACATTGGTTCAATCAATGAAACGGAGCTCATTTACAGTGTGATAACAGCAAGGTCACTTGATGTATTTTATTCACCTGATTATTACTTATCTGAACTTATTAGCCCGATTAGAGGTTATAAATTAAACTTTGTAGTCTGATTAGCCCTTATCACAACTTTTCTAATCTTATTTGAACTTATTAACCCTGAAATAAGTGGAAATAAGAAGAAGGAGCGTGCGGTTTAAAATAGTCGATTATATAGGGTTATTTGGGTCATAATTTATGGTGTAGGTTGGGATCTAAAAGAGTGTATGTGCGACTTTTAATCGTTAATCAAACAATCACTTAGATCAAAAAACACAAAACAACATAAGAGATTTTTTTTGTGTGTGTGTGTTGGTAAGGCCTTGTCCACTTACCTTAAATTTACCGAATTGAAATTATTTTTACGGATTCTAAAATCATTGTCGAGAATAGAGGCCTTTAACTGAAAACACTAATATTATTTTAATTAAAAATAAAACCTTCAAACTAATCCCATGTGGACGATATGTGATAATAATTAGGTTTGAGAGCGACACATATTATTATATAGAGAACACAATATTTTATTTTATTTTTTTTAAAAAAAAAAAGAAAAGAAAAGTGAATCTGTCTTTTGTTCTAAAATAATCAAAAGTTACTTTAAAATAAAGTTTTTTTTATGCTTTATTGATAAAATTATTTTTTTATGTAACTAGGTTAAAATCCCGTGCAATGCACGGTTGATAGATTTTTTTAATAATAATATTACAAAATATAAAGTATATAAAAAAAATTCTCGAATATTTCATTTGAGTATAAATGGAATATGGTTGTTAAACTGGAAATAAAATACATAAGGTATAAGTAGTTTACTAAAAGATTTTGCGAAAAAAAAAAAAAAAAAAAAAAGCGAAAAAGGCGGGAAAATTTTTCACAACATAATGACAAGTGTCATGGAAGGATTCGCTTTTAGTATAGGTTAATAGATGCCTTATAAATTCCCATATTTTGAAATTTCCATTTTACTTTTTAATAAATTCAATTAAGGAAATAAGTTAAGATATTCCCATCATGGTGAATTAATTAAGGAAAATAGGGGATTGACCTGGATAAATTGACAAGCATGTTACATAAGACTTAAGTATGAGATTTGGAAATTAGATAATACACCCGGGTGCACCATGCTCATGGTGCACCCGGGTAAACAAAAAAAGGCGGAAAGAACATATAGTGTTTGATAAAGAACATACCTATGTTTGACAAAGAACATACCTTTAATATGTTATTTGAGTGTGATCAGTGTGTTCTTTGAGTAAAATTATATGTTCTTTACATTATAACTTATGTTATTTAACATATGTTGATAAACATATTTTTTTTTGGGTTTAATAATACAAAGTATGTTCTTTGAATTTGGCGTGTATGTTCTTTAAGGTCGTAGTGACGCCCAAATTCTATTTTTTATTATCATGTCATATTTAAATTACTTTTATTATCGCACATTCTTTGAGTTTGATTAGTGTGTTATTTAGGTATTAACTATATGTACTTTACAATATAAATTATGTTCTTTTTAACATTTGGTATTTTGAAATTTGATATTGAAATCTTAAATTATTTTTAATTGAAAATAATGTTAGAGTAAAAAAAACTAAATTATTATGGGAAGTTGAATTTTTTTTTTGGAGAGATAGAAAACTATTTTTTGGGGAAATGATATCTTTGGTAAGGATTTTTTAAGAGGTGATCAACATTGGCATGACTCACATCCCGACCCGATCCGGCCCGAAATAGGGTGGGTTTGGGCAAACCTAAAAATGCATTTTTAGTTAAAACTCGATCCGGGTTCGAAAAAAGCCCGAAAACCCGCTACTTTTCTACGGGTTTGAGCACGAGAAATTATGATATGGCCCGACCCTACTCGATTATTTATCACTTCTAAATTTTTCCCGTTAATAATGTGTAATTTTTCAGAAAATTTTATCAAGCTTTTATCTCGTTCTTTTTATTATATCTTTATGTTCTTTGGTAATGCATGTTTTTGTCAAATACAACCATGTTCATTGTCAAATACATGTATGTTCTTTATGAAACACAGGATGTTCTTTCCGCCTTTTTTTTATTTATCCGGGTGTATGATGAGCACTGTACACCCGTGTGTATAAACCACAGATTATATGAGATTAGATATGCAACATTGCTCTTGTCCCAAAAAAAAAACAATATTGCTATTAAACAAGCACGTTGAGCACCAACGAAAAAGAAAAGCCTCATGATCACTTGAGATAAAGTCTGTACAAAATTCTCAGTTTTTTCACTGCAATTACTTGCTCAACTAACAATCCATAGTAAGCTAAATGGTTCTGATGTTAATAAGATGGTACAAACCACGGATATACATCATCTAATACACACAAAATCTTTGACCGACAAGGATGTGTTTCCGAGATTAGCAGGAGCAAGGCACTCACAGGAAACAGCATCGGGCCTATTTATGTATAACCACAGTAAATGTGGATTGAAGCAACTAAACTGACAGCCAAATTCAGAGACACCCCCCCCCCCCCTCCCACCCCAAACAAATTTATGTGCCTCATACGACTCAGAATCACGATTTTCATGGCTTGCCTCTTCTGATGATCTAAGATTATTAGATCACATGGTGAGTGTATACATGGAGTTAAAGAAATCTACAATCTTCACTTCACAACAGGTTGCTTTTGTTCTTCATTCAACTCATCATCAGCAGAAAGGATTGAGATAATGGACGGAGGAAGACTTCTTAGCAACAATGTCAATAAACTCTTTGCAACAATGACAACCACCCTAAAAAATTGATCAAGTTCGTCTTCATATTGCTCATAGATAAAGAATGACGTGAACGCAAACACGAGCACTGCATTCATCCAGGTCAAGTAAGGGGAAAATAGAAGGAACAAGAAACATTTAATATTTCACTAATAACAAGTCAAAAAAGGATAATATACCTGATCCTAATAAAAAGGTTAATGAATGTGAGATCCACTTGAGAAAACACAGTAGAACTGCTGCCTGTAATAATCAACAAATGAGCACATAAAAAGCTGGGAAAAAGACACAGCATCAACATTTATATAAATTACTTTTTTATCATTTGCCAAATCATAATCTGCAAAACAGCTATAGCTAGCAACTTTATTCAAGTTCATACCACGGAAAAATGTAACAGTTGAGGTTGTATGAAGATGCACATCAAATCACTACAAGAGACAATATAGGTACCTTTATGAATAAGCTCCAATCCTCTCCGTGCGCCAACGTTTTAGCAAATTGTACCCCTTCATTCCAAATAAGTGCTACATTGTCAAGCATGTTTCTCATTGTTGGCTCTGAGATTGCTAAACAAGGGATAGATATCTTCTTGAAGCTGAAGTCAAATACATAGTAAAAACATTTAAGTAACTGGTCCCACTAAAAATCTCTTGAAAAGTAATTTTCACACAAGGTACGACAGTCCAAGTTTCTCAGAAAAATATGAAATCCAATAAGCATATCAGGCATTGGACCAATAGGCAACAGGAACTGTATGTTCATCAAACACTATCTATTATGGGAAGTCCAATGCTCCTGATCCCCTCAATCCCTCATTCCAAGTTGTAAAGTCCACCTATCTAGTATGGGAAGTCCCTATATATTGTCCTTGATATTTAACAAGTGTACGTTCAGCAAACATCTATCTCCGATCCACCCCACCCCACCCCCCCCCCCTCCTAACACAACATTGTTGATCAAATTACACTCACCAACTACACTACTAAGTCCTAAGAGTTTGTAAATAGTCAACATGGAAAACACTTTACATGTTCAAGGGGTAATATCAATTGCAATCCAACTATTGTAGATGGGTAACATGGCAATCACTCTACAACTTGGGATGAAAGTAATGATTACACTCCAGTAATTATCAGCCCATTTTGGGGTGACTCTGTAACTCGGTTAAGAGCCAACTGGTTGACAAGAGATATAGGAGTATAGGTTCACAAAAGACGTGGCAGAAATAAAAGACCGCACAGGTACCATAACTCAAGCACAGAACTGCATGCATATCTAAAGATTGCAACATGCCGAAACTTACATGTTAACTGGAAGAATGCTATTTACAATGAGAAAAAACGTGGCCAGCAAAAGGAGCCCAGCAGTAGATGAGATGAATGTTCGTCCACTAAGTAAAAACCAGTAGAACAATCCACACGTAATAAGAAAGCATGTAAATGTTTCCATCTCGTCCCTCCAAAGCAATATGTCAGCAACTGCACTTCCAGAAAAAGCAAGGAAAATGAAGTTAGAGAAAAAGTCAACAAACTTAATTAAAATTGTATATAAAACTGACAAGAAATACCATCCTCCGGATGTCATATAGGTGTCATAAGCGTAAAAGAAGGACTAAGAACAAAAAACACTAAGACCAATAGTTCAGGCACGAAACATGTATGACTTACAAAAAAACATATACTAAAACACGAGCAGCAAAAAGAGAAGCAACTTCTCAATAAGGCTTCTTTTTCAAATCATCATCCAAAATTTTTTTTGGCTGAATCAAAGGAATTGTTCACTGCATTCATGCCAAACTAGTCACCATACAATTTCACATCTGAACATGTAGGTTGGCATCAGAGGAACTGTTCATTGCATTCATGCCAAACAACATATCATGACTGAATGAAAAAGCTAGAAGCAATGATACCCCACTATGACTTAGATAATTGAAGGACATGGGCTCAAGTGGCCTCTACATAGAAAGGTGGTGATGCCGACTTGAGATTCTTCCCTAGACATTACTTAGAGAGGAGATTTGAGAACTGGGCTTATCATATTCAGGTAGTCACAAAAAGAGCTTAAGATTTTAGCACATTCTTCAAGGCATGATGATTGAACAACAATAATTGCACATATTTGTGCTAAAAGGAAATCAGATATATGAAGAACCATAGGAGAAAGTGACAACCTTTCCCATATCCCAGAATTTCTTCTGCTTTTGAATAATCCTTAAACTGGCGTTGTTTAGAGGGTAACGAGCTTTTAGCCAAATGAGAAAAAGACTTGACAGTCAAAGCAATACCTTCCTGCAGCCAGTGAGAGCACACAAATTGATTATAAACTCTCACAATCCTTCTTTATACATTATTCAGAAAAAAAGAGAAAGACTCTAACATTGAACTAATAACTCAAAAGAGCCACAAACATACAACATCATCTGAAGACATTATACATTCCTTAGTCTACTTTAGATAATGATAGATAGAGCTAAAGGTTTTATAGAACTAACTCAAAAAATAATTATGGGCTCACATCTTCACCCATTGCTTCATGTGAGTAGAAATGTGTCTGTTATATTAGAAATTGACCTACTAATCATTCTAATGGTATGCTCAAGGTCAGGGGATCAAGGGTTGGTAGAGAGAGAGAGAGAGAAATTGCCCAACTTGTAGTATATTTGTGTTTTATCACCTTTACTTTCTTATCTTTTATTATTATTAAGGAAAATATCTCCACAATGTCGGGCTTCCTTCTTACAAAATATTGATTACTAGGAAATTATAGTAGTTCAGAGTAGATATTATAACATTTTAATTGACAGAGTTGCAAGGTGTTCCCACAGACCAGACAACATAGTCACTTATAGTATTTGGAAGTGCCAAAAAAAATTTATCAAGATTCCTGGAAGAAGAAAAAAAACTGCTTCTGAGTACATTTCCAAACCTACTACCACTTAATCACTTATATACAATGCACAAGGAAAGAGAGAAGTATAGTAAAGGGTAATTTGGTGAAGTGAAGGTAAATCCTTAATTATGAGGGGTAGGAGCAATGTGACAACTAGTACCAAAGGGGATTATCTCTTTCCTATTGCAGATCTATAGAAAGTTCTGCTGCAAATTAAGTTAATTGTCCACTATTAAGTGTCCAACAAGGGATCTCATTCTTGACGTAAAAATGAGTATATACATTGGTAAAGAAGCATAACTTCGATTGCTATCCCAAAAAAATGAATAAAGATGACATGAAACAGACCAGTCACTTCTATTGTATAAGTTGCAAGCTAGAAATAACAATATAAATATAATGAAAGGCCTTAAAGCTTGCATAAGATGCATCCTTTTCTGACTGCTGCAAACCATTAATCTATCCAGACAGGTTTTAATAATAACCAAGTAAACCACATAAACAGAGGCACAACAAAAATAGGATAAAGCAATAATTAAGAGTTGGACAAGTTGGCAATATGGTCAAACACTTACATCCAAAGGAACAACAGGTGTGTAATTGATGTGCTCTTTAGCTGCAGAGCAATTAAAAGTTCTGGTAAACAGTGACGATTCAATAGCAAACTGAACTGACACTAAGAGGCCTTTGACATCAGATTCGGATTCCAGTTTGTAACTTGTCCACCTCAAAAGCGGAAGCAAAAAATTGACGATCTTAGGAGGAACTCGAATGCTTGGCCTGCATTATTGTTTTTTGACAATAAATTGACAAAATCAGAATAAAGGAATATAAATAATATAAAGAGCATAACAAATAAAAGCACAAGCAGTAATCTAACCACTGAGCAAGTAATACTATATACTACTAGACTACTAGTAGCACTTCGATAGTAAAATAATTATAAAAACAAAATACTAAACTCCATACATCATGGGAGATTAAGAGCAAGAAATTGTATTTTAAAAAATAAAAGTCATTAGTGATTCAAACTAATACTCTAAAACAAAGTAAATTCCAATTCCCAAGTGGCCAATTTTTAAAACAACAGTTAATCTTCTAATTGTGGTAACATTGTACTACTAAAATTTGTAGACAACATTATAACTACTTTAAAAGTGTGCCACCCATTGAGCCCAACCACCCCAAAAATGAAAGGAATGAAAACGCACAGTTAACCGATACAGTGGAAGACGAAAATGCAGATAAAAAAGTATTTTAACCAAAACAACCAAGGACTGCACCTTAAAAACCAAGCAAACATCTTTAAGTACACGTCGCTCGGGGTGACATTTCTTTTAGCATAGTGACTGACAATAAATGCATCATGTGACAATAACAATACACAAAGACACAGACAAAAGGACAAATTATATCTCTAAGGACAAATCCACATTATATCAGGGAGACAAGGACAGTGGTAGTATGGTACAACTTTGTATGACCATATTTTTTTTTCTAAAAACAAAAAAAGAGAAAATCTACTAATGTATAGGATGATAAGTCATCCAAAAACAGAAGTCGCAGAAGAAGCCATATCAGGCTCACTTCAAAAACTATGAATAATTATTATTTGTCCCAAGTATAAGAGACTAAGTGACGAAAAGGAAAAACACGTTTTAACAGAAGAAAATTTGGGACATCCAAATAGTTGATATAACATACAAGTATAGCCAGTTATATAGACAATTATAGGTAAATATTATAGCATATATTCAACTGTATATGGAAAAATATGGCAAAAACCAATGGTGGTCAGTAGTCTCCAAAAGAGGTTTCCACTAGGTTCCCTAGAGATTCCAAAATGGGAAAACACGACATTTGTGAGGTTTCTGTGCAACAAAGGCTGAGAGAACTAGGTTCTTCATCAATCGATACAAATCACCATGTGACAATCATACAACACTTCCCGTGTCAGTGAACAAACACTGAAGAGAAAGCTAAAATGCCTTAAATCTGACCAAAACATAATTTCATTCCTATCAAACTTATAACTACCTAGCAAAAAAAAAAAAAAAAAAAAAAAAAAAGGAACTACTCCGTAAATAAATCTTCAACGCACCTTTTATATCCCAAACCTTCATATATCCGAGATACAAACTCCCAATAGTTCCTTGGCTCGAGATTTGTGATAAAAAATGCCTAAATATGACATCACGGAGCAAATCTTAAATATAAAGGCCAAATAGTAATAAAATGCACTGAGCAAGACTGCAAAAAAAGTTTAAAACAATGAATTACCTTTCCAGCCACAGAATTTTTTTGAGAAATAAGAGCTTCTGCAGCACATATATGAGCATGGGCCACATTCTCAACATAGGTGAAGTCAGAGAGACTGTCACCACTGCCTAAAACAAACTGGAAAAGGGAGATATGTCCATGATAAGGAATTAACTTTAAAGAACGGGGAAAAAAATGATTTGGCACATACACCTGATATAAAGCATATGAAAGAAAACAACAACAACAAAAAAAAAAAAAAAAAAAAAAAAAAGGAAGAGAAAAATAAGTGAATAATTGTTTCATAGAATACGAAATATAAACTAGAAAATTAACGCAAATAAAGTTGTGCAGTCATGTAAGTTAGATTTTGAAGGAAGGTATCTGAAATCTGAAAATTATATAACATAGGAAAGAAATTAGAAAAAAAGAAAATTACTCCTCCACTTTCTTATTCATCCCGTTCCCATTCTTCCCAAACACCCCACTCTAATTTGTCCCTTGCAATCTATATCAATTATAATCTTTCAGTCACTCAACTCCTCTCTCTTAGCCTCTCCTGCCATGGCAACAAAAAATTTACCCGGCAACATAAAGCGTTTAAATTCCAAAAATCGTCATAGTTAAATTCTCAATATAATTTTTAGCTAAAGACCCTAGATCTGCAAAACTAGAGTCGTTCGATTGTGTTAGTCAGTTGTGTCGTAACTGTATATCACATATTCACATCACCCAGGGCTTGAAGAAAAAGATTAACACTGTGACTTTCCGTGGGATACGTGCATTTTATTTCATCACTGGCCACTACGCTTCAAGGGGCTTCCAAACGAAACAAGTTGCTATTCCTAGATATATTTCTAAAATATCTTACATTTCTTTGCACTTTGGGTTGCAAGAATGTAGGGAAAGAACAACAGCTTACACTGAGAAGTTCTGGAAATCTGCCAGGCGATGTTATATTGCAGATCATACAAAACTATTTGGGCCATTTGGCAAACAGCTATAATTCTCAAACTCTTCATTTCATCTTGCTTACAAATGTTGCATACTTGATACTTCACTTTGGACCAACAATAGTTTGATTAAACTAAAAAAGAGCAATAAAAAGCTTGGCACATACAATAAGCAAGTCTCTGTAACTTAAGCAATTAGAAAATGTACTTCATTGTGGTATCTAGCTAAGTAGAAGCTGCAATGACACTGAACCCTGCTCCACCCAAAGCCAACCCAGAAAAATAGGCTTACTCATATTCCGTACACATGCTCAGTGAAAGGGATGGTGTCAAAAAGAGGATATAGACATGAATAATTACCAGACCTTTGCCCAGACAGAATTTGCTTGATTCACCATAGCATGCACCAGATGTGTATCTGATGGTCCAAAGATATTGCTGGGACGGAGAACACAGGTCAATAGATCATCATGGTTGTTAGCATACAAAACAAGTGCTTCTGCTTGAGCCTTCATTTCCGTTAACATGTCTGTATACTGTATCAGTGTAGGAAGTCAATTAGAACCTCATATGTTTCAAAAAAGGTGTGAACAAAGAATAAGAAAAGGAACTTCATCGAATGAATACATACTTTCCACGGGTAGAGCACGGATTCATCCCCATTTCTAATATGATGAGAACCGTCAAAAGCGACATCAGCAGAACTGTTGTATATTAGTCGTTTGACTTTACACTCTTGGCAAGCATATATGACATTCTTGGCACCTGATGAACAGCATAGAGATAATTCATATTGTAGTAGTTCTGCAACAATCATAAACTCCATCTGAATTAAACATTCTCATTTGAAAAGAACTTACCTTGAACAATGAACATGTAGCTTTCGTATAGATTACATTGGGATGCATCCAAGGTTTCAGCAACAAAAACAACGGACGAACCATCAATAGCTGCAGTGGAACAAGGTAAGAGTAATTAAGTCATCAAATCTCAGTCTGCTGAAGGTTTCACAATTAGAAGAGAACACTGTAAGATAGTGATAACAGGGACCGATTTAAACAGGTAATATTAGACGAGATCAACTTGTCATCCCAAGACTTAAAATATCCAAAAGCAATGAGAAGCGGTCTCACTATTGCAGGCTAAGAAAAACTCCAAAATGAGCACAATTAACATGTGTAAGCAATGGTTCAATAAAAACGGAATGATCATCCTACTTAGAATACTAAACAGAACTGTTTGAAAGAACTAAGCCAAATACCAAAGGAAACAAAGTCAATGAGCCTATATATTGACTCCAAACACCGTGATCCTTCATCGTAGGCAAACAATAAAACTAGATTCCTTGAACAAACATAACATATCAACACTGTAACACTAGGTGCAATTAGGCCTGGTTATTGGGTAGGGCTACCCAATGGCAAAAGGGTCGGGCCTAATACTAAAGGGTTTTGACCCTTTAATTTTTTAATGGACAGGGCTTTTATAGGGTCTTATTTTATAGGGTTTTTATAGGGTTTTATTTTATAGCCCAATAATTTAATAATTAAACTAAAGAGCCCAATAATAATTGTAAGGGTCAGCAGTCAGCTACTACCTCTCTTCCATTTTCTCTCTCCTCCATTGAAGCCACTCAGAGTTCTCCATTGAAGCGCAACTTCAGAGTTTTCCATTAAAGCACTCAGAGTTCTCCATTGAAGCGCAACTTCAGAGTTCTCCATTGAAGCGCAACTTCATAGTTCTCCATTGAAGCGCACTCAGAGTTCTCCATTGAAGCAGCGCACTCAGAGTTCTCCATTGAAGCCGCGCACTCAGAGTCTCAGGTAACATCATTTTCTCTCTCTTAATCTGTTATTCAATTTTAATATCTGATTGAAGATCCGGTTTAGGTTATATGATGTGATCGAAAATCAATTCAAATTGGATTTTCTTCTGGGTGATTTTGCTTCTTACTTGAGCTTGGAGAGTGATAAAAGGATTGTGGGTAATTTTGCTACTTATGAGTCTGTTGTTCTTGGTGTTGCTAATGCTGATTTATTTTGGTGTTTTTAATTATAATTTGGGAGTTTTTTTTGCTTGATTATAATTGTGTTTGATCTGAACTCATGGATGAATGATTATAACCCTTAATTTTGTGTGCTAATCATGTCACATATTTTCTGCACTTGTGCCATTGAATGTTTTCATTTCTATATTAGCTACAATTTGAAAATACTTGAATTAAATCAAACCAATAAAGGCTTGATAAAGTATACTATTAATCCATCTATATATTCATACAAAGCCCATATTATCTACTAATATATGTAGTACTTTGAATGAATATAATGTGACTAAGCTGATGATTTAATTATAATTTGGGAGTTTTGCTTGATTTGATTATAGTAGTATAAGAATTGACTAAACTAGCATGATTATAGAACGAGAAAGCAAATGTGGTACTTGTGTGTTGACTGTTAAGGTTAGTGTAGTTGTGATACTACTACTACTACACTGAATTGGAGGCTGGACACTTATAAAATTTAACTATGTAGTACAAGTAGTATTTGTTTTATTACTTGTATGTTTTCGGCGGTGAATTATCCTACTTCTAATGTGTATTTTAAAGGTGCATGGATGGTGCATCGCCATTTGCTTGAGGCGGAGAAAGGTCCTTATGATTATTTAAAGGAAATGGTGAAACCAATGCTTGAAAAATTTGACAAGTATTGGTCGGATTACAATTTTTACTTGTCATGTGCCGCCATTCTTGATCCGAGGTACAAAGTGAAATTTGTGGAATATTGTTTTAGTAAGTTATATGGAAGTGTAGAGGTCTCAAGACGAATTAACTTGGTGTTGGGAACTATGAAGTCAATGTTTGAGGACTATAAGTTGCAATATGCTAGTAGTTCACCTATTGTAGTTGCTCCTTCTCCTCCTAGTACTTCCGGAGCTAGAAACTACTTTGATGATTATGACCATTTTGTCGGTACTAGTGCAAGATCTCAAGTAGGAAAGTCACAACTTGAGATGTACCTAGATGATGATGCTTTAGATCTCAATTCACAATTAGATATTTTGGAGTTTTGGCATCAAAGTTCTGTGAGGTATCCTGTGGTATCTAAGATGGCACGGGATTTGTTGACTATTCCTATAAGTACTGTAGCTTCGGAGTCTGCTTTTAGTATTGGAGGAAAGACTGTTTCGGCATCGCGAAGTTCATTAAAGTCAAAAACAATTCAAGCTTTAGTATGTATGCAAGATTGGCATCGTGAAAGCAATCACGTAGAGGTTGATAGTGAACTTGAAGATGAAATCATTGAAGAAGAAGAGGATGATGATGCAGACCCTTTCTACTAGGTAATATTCTCTTGTTCATTTCTCTACTAATAGTTCTGTTTTTTAGTCACATTACATTAAAGTAGTAAAGATTTGCTTGGTAGTGGCTGTTTCTGTCCTTGCTGGGTGCAACTTATGTCTGACTTCTGTTTTTTTTTTTTTTTTTTTTTTCTGCTGGGGGCTGCAGGTCTTGTTTCTGTGTGCTGCTGGCTTTTTGGTTCTGTAGTTGCTTGTGTTGGTGTGGCTGGGAGGTGCTTTGTAGCTGCTGCTGTTGCTGGAGGCTGTTCTGAGTTCATGAAGCACTCAGAGCCAAAGAGCTTGTTTCATTCCTACTGCTGCTTCATTCTTTTGTGGTATCTGAGAACATTTGCTAAAATGTTGGCAATGAACTAGACCATTCTAGTAGTATTTCGTAAATCTAGAAACTAGTATATTACAATTGATGTAACAGGGTTAGTACTCTTGGTGAACTTATTTTGGCGTGCTGGTTTTCTCTACACAGGCTCTACTTCTGGTTTTATTTTGATGTGAAAGATTTTTATGAGACTTTGATCCTGCATATATCTTTGTCTGAGCACAAGTATACTATTTAAAGATTAGTATACCATTTAAAGATTAGTATGCTATTTAAAGATTAGTAGAAGTTAATGGCCCGTTAATGGCCCGTTTTACTTTTACCTCGACCCTGACCCGACCCTGACCCGCATTGACCCTGACCCGACCCTGACTTGCTAAATATTCATCATGACCCGCAACCGACCCGCCCCGCTAATGACCCGCACCGACCCGCCCAATAACCACCCCTAGGTGCAATATATCAATAAATCAGACTTCAGCATTGAATTTTTCTTCCTGTCCTTCAAATAATCACAACACTAAAAATGAGGTCATGATCAAAATGACTACATTTCGATTAAAACGAAGATAAACTACTTTAACTTCATCAATTTGCTCCAACAATGTTGTATCACCATACACTTCTAATTCAGAACAATTTCAACCAAATCACTTCTAATTCAGAACAATTTCGACCAAATCAATCAAATTATCATTCTACAGCTTAATTCTCCAACAACAACATAAAACAAATCAAAATTATCACCATAAAATGAACAAATCAACAACATTAAACTTCAAAGAACCCTAAAAACCAAAAAAATTACCTCGAACAAGCTGAGATTTATCACGAACATCAACTTGAAAATACGAAACACGACCATCAGAAACAGCGTCAGAAACAAGAGAATTCTGCTCAACATTGAGATTCGGAGAAGAATCGGCGATTCTGACAATCCAATTACCGAGCTTCAAGAGGCGTAAAACGAGGAATCGGCCGACGAAGGATTGGCCGCCGATGACGACGCAGGTTGAGCTAGGGTTAGGGATGTGATCTTCCGCCATTGATGAACTGCAACTGATAACTGAGGAAGAGGAGAGAGAATGGCGGGGAAAATGAAACGTAAAGATTGAATTTGAGAGAGGAGAGAGAAAGTTTTGGTGGGGGGAAGTGGTGGAGCCGCTGTATCCACCACTAATTTAGTTTGCTGCAAAAAGATGTGTTAATTCTTCTGACAAAATATAAAAGGACAATTAAAGGACGAATTTATTAGTATTATTACGTATTTACGTCTATGTTTAATTTTTTATTTTGTGATCTTCCTTTTGTTTTTAGTCATGGGACTCATGCCTCGTTTAGCTTAAGTGTAAGGTGGCACGAGCCATGTCGTGCGGTGTGAGGTGCACCGTGTCTCGTAAGTCGTGTTATCTCATGCTCGTGCCAATTATTCAAAATTATAATCATACATAGTTTGTTCATGTTATGTAAAGCAGACCGGTCTCACTTGTGTCAAATTTTGATGATTATCCATACACGGTTCATGTCCATTTGGCGTGCCGTGTTAGGCTTGTGATGGATTTGCGTTGAATTGGGTTAGTGTAAGCGAAGATATATATGTAGATGAAGTCCTTCTTACTTAAACTCATCTACATCATTTAGTAAGTAGTAACCTTCGCAATATAATATATAATTGTCTTTACATTGAAAATCAAGGAAATCAGCTTTATATAGTTATAACTAATTACTATAGATTTTTGTTATTTTTGTGATGCATAATAAATTCTTACATTCGGAGTGGAATTGTGATGGTCATGGTGAAAATGGTGATCATGATGGTCATGTTAGAAAATTAGAATGGAAGATGTGTGGTTATTGTTTGATTGTTAGGGATGGTCGGTAATTGGTTGTCTAACAAAGAAATTTGATAATTACCACCAACTATTGTTGTCAAAATTGAAAATACCACCTCAAGTTTTTTTTATTTTTAAAATTTTACCACCTAGTTTTTTCCAAAAGTTTTCAAATTCCCACCTTTAATGCGACATGAAATCATCATGGGCCCACACTTTCGTTTTCCCTCTCTCTTCCCTCGATTTCCCTCTTTCTTCCCACGATTTCCTTCCAATTTCATCTTTAAGTTTGATTTCAAATACAAAAATTTCGCAAATTAGGTTATAATTGCTACAATCTAACCTACAACGAACTGAATTAAGTAGTTTAATTAGGGTTTGGGTAATTAATTTGGGGGTTTTTGCTCAATTCAAAAAATTAGGGTTTATGAATTTCTTAAATCTTATTCGTCAGTTTTGCTTAGTTGGCGAGTGAATTTTTTAAATATAAAATAAATTATTAATCTAATTTTTCATTGTTAAATTAATACATTTTCTTATGTGGCGCGCCGAATGATCCCGAAAAATGCCTACTTTATTTATATATATTAGATTTAAGTAGTAGTTTGTGATTTCTTATAATTTATTTGTCTTATTTTCCAATAATATGAAATTTCAGTAGTAGTAGTAGTTCATGGGAGGGAAATTGTAAGTGGTGGGCCCCACAACCGGAGTTTCTCGTCGAAATAGTAGTCAAGGTAGTGCTACTCAAACTTTTTTGTTTTTGTGGTAGTTGTTTCAAAAAAAAAAAAAATTATAAATGGTAGTTGTTTCCAAAACGAGTCATTTAAATGGTAGTTTTTCACAAAATTTCACTAGTGGAAAAAATCCTATCCGTAACGGGCAAAAATAGGCTTTTCGTAACGGGCAGCGGGCGTTACGAATACAGCCGTTACGGATAGAAATATTATTCGTAACGGGCACTTGTCCGTTACGAATAACTAGTTATTTGTAACGGGCAGGTTAAGTGCCCGTTACGAATAATCAGGTATTTGTAACAGACAAGTTGACTGCCCGTTACGAATAGCCAGGTATTTGTAACGGACATGTTGACTGCCAGTTACAAATAGCCAGTTATTTGTAACGGACACTTTGACTGCCCGTTACAAATAATGTCTTGAAAAATCAAAATATTAGGGGTATTTGTAACAGGCACAAAAGGTGCTTGTTACAAATACCCCTTTTCCTTTTCCATTGACATGTCAAATTATCATTTATAATAATTAACAAACAAAAACCCAATTACTGATTTCCAGGCCACAAAGGCACACAAATATTATCAAAATATGGCACATCAAATTTTAAATTTACATCTCAAAAAATTCATAATTGTCTTTGATCTATTCTCCGCATCTGAGGCAAGCTCCAGCGTCATTTCAGCTTGAACTTCCAATTGTTGTAAATTAATGTGCTCACTGCCCTCTCGACTGATTTACATCAGCAGATGGACCAACACCAGCATTTTCTTCAACATCACTTTGTTCACAAGTCCCAGCAAGGATCTCATTTGCAGACTCATTTTGTTGAGCATCATCTAGGATCTCATTTGCAAGCTCATTCTGTACTTGAGCACTATCAAGAACCTCAATTTGAGGATCATTTAGTACATGAGTACTGTCAATGCCCTCATTTGTGCTGTTAGCCTGAGTTTGATCATCTCTAAAACTATGAGGACTGTTTTCCAAAGAACTACCAGACAGGTCACTTGCTTGAACTTGAAAGATGTCCAATCTGGATAGAAAACCTCTCCTGTATATTACATGAGATTAGGAAAATAATACAGAGAAAGATATTAGGAAATGGCTGCCTAATATCTAGGACAAAGCATAAAAAAACTAAATAAAAATAAAAAAAGGTAAAAGTAACAGACCAATACACATCACATACAGATGTTTGACTGATATGTCCCCCAATTATAATTTACTCTGCACCCAATAATTCAATCAGTAGCTTTTCTCCACTTAAAAATAGTACACCAAAATTCAAACAATTGCAAACCACAGCCAGTGTTCATTTATCATGGGCTTTCACATATACTTAAGGTCAAAAAAAGCATGAACCTAAAGTCCTAAACTAACTGAGCAAAACTCACAAGAATACATGATGAACTCAAATCTATTTCCCACCAACCCGCTTTTTACTTTTATAATTACTCCCTGAATAAAAGTAATGTTGCAAAGTGACTATTTTGTCTTAGAACTAAGACATCTAATCTTTGTTTCAAGCATGAGTATATATAACCTACATTATTGAACTCGTGCTCGTTAAAACATCCCAATCGAATCTACGTGGGGAAAACCAAGAGGTAGAATTCAACCTCACGTCTTGGGGTAAGGGTCCTAAGGGACCATAGTGGGCATAGTCCATACCCCATGAAAGTGCCAATTATGCAAAATATTTATGAACACATGCACTGATTAAGCACGTAAGCTGGGAAATTGACCACATAACACACTACAGAGTAGTCACTTTCTGGACCGTAGTATATCACCGTGTTGTGGTCTAGTCTAACCGTCTAACAACACATTCACACATATGATACAGTAATATGTAGCATTATATAACAACTGAAAAGCCAGTTAAGCACTATAACCATGGAATGATGGATGCCACTCGCCAGAGTTGTGCCCACAGCAAGCTGCAACACAAGCTTCTTGCATTACTGATAGCGGAATATCCTTGTTACAGATGTTTGCAAAGGCCCGCATATGTTTCATCCCGTATTGAGTTAAGGTCCCACATTCTTTCTCAAACACCCGAACCTGAAGATATGAAAGTTTTCACAGTTAATTAAGTTCAAAATAACAGAAATTTAGCTACATGTCCTGTTACTATGAAATCAACCAAGAATACAAATTTAATTAATTACCATTGATTTCAAGAAATCCCAATCATCCACAAGCGGAATTCCACGGCTTGGCTTTGCGCGTAGGACCGAAGGGCCATTGTTTAGTCCAAATAAAAGTTTTCCGATGAATTCAATGCTGCTGTCAAGGTGGCTTCTGTGCTTCATAGTCTCAATTATCTCTTTAAGAATCTTATGCTTCTCCTCATGTTCCTCCTTTGATCTTTCATACTGTAAGAGAAGTTGGTGATTATTGAGTAGTGACAGACATAGATTATAGATACAAGTCCAAGATTCAGAATTGACCAATTTATGTAAGTTAAGCATCTTTTGATCTAAAATGAAGTGTAACATGTAAAAAAAAAAAACTATTTTTTATGAAATCAATTACTAAAAATTTCCCAAGCCTGTGGGATAGGTTAATGATTGCACTGTTGAGTATACATATTTTAGGCTCAAGGATAGCAGACTTATAAGAAAAAAAGTATTAAGTAAACATATGCTATACTACTGTGGCTAAATTCCTCCCTAAAATCTCAAATATAGCATAAATTATGATAATTAAACAAAACCCAGGCCACTACTTTTTTTTTTAACCTAATTAGAAGAACAAACCAGCAGAAGCTATCAATTTGCAACATTACATATATAAAAACATCATTACCCTAACATGATAAACCATAAAATTCCAAATCAAGTAAAATTTACAAACTTTACAACAAAAACAAGGATTCAAAACACAAAATCACAAACCCTGAAAATTCAGTTTATCAATCAATCAATTTAAAATTTCCTAATTGATTTCAACTGTTTAAATTAATTAATCCAGTAAAAACAGAGATAGCAACAAATAGATCAAAATCAATAAAATAAAAAAGAACTAATCGAATAAAAAAAACACAGGTGATTTCAAATGTTTAAATTAACTAATATACACAACAAAATATCCAGTAAAATTAACACAAACCCATCAATCATCCAAATCAAGTCACACAAATTAGATCAAACAAACCCGTATATTAAAAATATAAAAACGAATCCAGAAATTCAAACATAAAAAATAATAATCATTAAATTGAAAAATTTGTACCTAGGGTTAGTGAAAGAGAGGCGGCGAGAATTGCGGGCGAGATTAAGGAGAAACGGTGAAGGAGGGCGGCGGAAAGGCGGATTGAAGGAGATCTGGCGCAACCCCAGTCAATTTAACCATTTTTCTCTCTCGTCGTTCCATCTCGCTGTTTTTCTCCAATGGAAGGGGAAGATCGATTGATGGAGTAGAGGAGAGAGGTCGTGATTTTGAAATGAGACGAGAGAGGGCCTGAGATTGATGGGCAAGATTGTTGAATTACGGGGAGGAGAGAAGAGGAGAGGAGAGAGAGAGGGAGTGAGGGACTGATGAGAGAGAAAGAGGCGAATGACGGCATAGTTTGGGCATTTGGGTGAAACCCTAAAAAGCTAAATATTGGGCTCCTCTCATACGTTGGGCCAAGTTTGGGCATTTGTAACGGGCACAATATGTCTGTTACGTGTAATGTAGTATCCGTAACGGGCAAAATAGTGTCCGTTACGAATACTTATTTATTTGTAACGGGCACTAATTTGTCCGTTACAATTATATAGGTATTCGTAACGGACATTATTTTGCCCGTTACAAATAAATAAGTATTCGTAACGGACACTATTTTGCCCGTTACGAATATCTTAATTGTAACGGGCAAAGCTTTGCCCGTTACGAATAGCCTGTTACTGTAGACACCCATTTGTGTCTCCCCAAAACCAAACCCAGTGATGAGTGCCTTTCACGCCGAATCATAATTGAATGAAACGAAAGTGTGGAAAGGTCTAGTGTTGCGGAAAGTTTTTATTTCTTTTCTTTTCTTTTCTCTTCTCTCTGTTTTTGAAAACTTTATTTTAAGAAAACAGCCAATCCAGTTTGGTTGGTCCATGATATGGGTCCAATAGTGGTATAGTTGGATGGGGCTTGCAAAGACCTTTCCAACGATATATTATAAGCCCAATTCCGATGAATATTGAGGAATTTATGGCCAATTTACTAAACTGGGCTCGGTTTGAGTTTTAAGTACGGCCCAATGATCTAGGGGAGGGCCTAATATGATTTATCATTCCTAATGTAATTAGGAATGGTTTTGGTCTTCTAGAACATTCTAGAAGGTTCTCATCATTCTTAATTCAATTAGGATTCTTTAGAGTTTTAATTAGATCAAATAGCATTTTCGACTGAAATTATATTATTTTATCTTCCAGTACGGTAAAATTATCAGATTTTCGAAAACGTGTTAAAATTCGATTTGGCGTCCAACCCCAGGCCTTGGCGCCTGGAACCAAGATTGGCGCCAGACGCCAGCCATTGGCGCATGGCGCTAGCCACTGGTCCTGGCGCCAATGAGCCAGGGCTAGCGCCAAGTTGTTTTTGCGATCTTCGGACTCTGTTTTGATAAATTATCTTTTTTGGCTGATTTTCTCTATAAATATCGTATCTTAAAACTCCGTTTGGAGGGACGGATTATCATCTATCATTCACCACTTCTTTTGTTCTTAAGTTTTAATAAATTCCGTTTTCATTCATCATCTACAATCTTCAATCGTCAACAAATTAGTTTATGAATCATTAATCTTTCATTCATTCTTTCTAAACTTTATTCTTTAACACAAAATTCCGCATTCACAAGATCTAAAAACACCTAGCCATATTCGAAGTTGCCTTCGCCCTAGACGTGAAAGGTTTTAATTTCTGAGGGTTTGGTCCCAAATCTCTATTATTTAGTTTAATTGTTGTGTTTATTATTTTCCTTGAAGTTACTAACGTGTGTATTTTGTAATTAGAAAGAGGTACGAGGCATCCAAGTGAGTACTTTATCGATTAATTGATTTTATGATGTAGACATCATGTTTATATTATTATTATGATATTCCTAGTATCATGTCTAGGGTGTTTTTAATATTAAGCATGATTAAGAATATGATGCTTCCTATGTTCTTTCTAACATTTATGATTATGATTTATGATGATTATTTATTATGTTGCTTGATATGCATATTATTTTATATTGTTATTGCTTGATCACCTTTTATTGCAGGTTAAAGGGAATTGGTATTTGCAATCACGCTTAATAAGATAATTAATAATCTTGTTAGGTTAATTGTGATTATAATTCAAGTAATCGCCAATAATAGTTTATTTGTGCATTAAATTCAACCAACATAGATTAAACAGGTTTAGGGTTAATCCTATTGATTGCATGTTAATCAGAAAGCGCACATGAATACGATCAGAATAAAGTAGAGGCTTATTATTAGGGCAGGTTCAATCTCTTTTAGGTTGGATTTGTACCTTCATCCCCGAACCCTATTTTGGTTCATGACCTTATGGAGTTGACGATCTCTTGGATCGTTAAGGGGTGTAACCTTCACCTCGTGAACGGTTTACAAGTTCCTTAAAAACTTGTTGGCGACTCTTCTGCTCTATCTTCTTCCCTTTTGGACGCCATCGTACTTTAGTGTATGATCACAGTGGGGTTCAAGCTAGTGGGATTTTTAAAGGCTTGAAACTATTCCCTACAGTTACGAATGAGATTTTTTCCACTAGTGTTTCCTTAAATTTTAAAATTGTTCATTCTCGTAATGAAAATGTTCATTGGACTTTTGGTATATGTTCATTTTTATGTTGAAAGATGTTCATATATATTGTAATACTTGTTCGTTCTCATATTGAACTATGTTCATTTTCTAGCAATGTGTCCAAATTTGTTATTGTAAATGTATATTTAATAATCCTGTTTTGTTTATAGTGTATTTTATTTGGTGTTGCTAACATTTCCTTTACAATATTTTGATCTCTTATTACGCAGGACAATAAAAAAAAATTAAAAAAAAAGTTGGAAACGATTATTTATATATTGGAAAAAGATATGTATAAATTAAAGAAAAACACACAAGCATCATAAGAGTAAAAGGGTACAACTGTATTACAAAGACAATGATGCTATATACTTTTTATTTATTCCAAATGTATAGATAGAATGACAATAATCATTTTGTAAGGCACCTATATATGATATGTATATTTAATTTGAAGTTTAAGATTTCCTAATTTATTTAATTGTTTATAAATAAAAACATGTGTATATTTGAAAAGTTAAAATAGTTCCTTTTTATGTTTAAGAAACAGTAATTATATATTGATTTAAAATGATATTATAATTGTAATTAATTAATTATATTGTACATTGAAAGATATTTTTTCAAATAAAGCCTTTTTTTTTTTGAAACCCATCGAGCAATTTTATTAATCAAGTGCTAAAAGATCCGATAGTACATAGGGGGCAATCATCGAAGGACAATGATTTACCCAAACTTCCTCATCCCCGAAGGGCACTAACTTGGCTAGATGATGGGCTACAAACTTGCCCTTGAAGGAGTTATGTCTTCATAAGTGCAATTACTAGATATATCAAGGATCACTATTATGGAGATAATAAGTTCGTTTTCTTGGGGCGTCATCATCTGTTGCTAGACTATGAGAGATGATCTTTGGGCTAGTAAAATAGCCCAAAGCCCGCTAGAATGGATCCTATGAGGTCACACACAAAGGTATTGGGTTAAGCAAGTAAGAGGCCCATTATTGGGCCTTATGAGTATTTAACTAATCATGAATAGGATTGGGCTAGTGTAGTTTGATTGGGATTAGGAATTGGATTTGGTCATGGACTCTTATTTATGGATATGATCTATAAATAAGATCCGTGCCTAGGATGGCAGACACAAGAGTCACAATCAACTTACAGTGAATTGTGAATCAAGGCAACCAATCCCAATTCCCTCATCTCCCTCTCTCTCTCACGGCACCCCTCTCCCCCCTTGGACTTGCGCCCGACCACCCCTGGTGGTGTTCGCGGTGGTTCGTGGTGGTTTGTGACTAGTTCGTTGCTCATACCTCTCCGTAGAAGGTCGATTGAAGAGTTCGATCGCGACTAACTAGCATTAGTGGAGGTCTTAACCTGTGCCTGTGGACCAAGTAGAGGAATCACGTTTGAGGTTCTTTGTCTCCCTTGTTCTTGCTCGATTGCTAGTGGAATCACGCTTCAAAGGTATAATTCTTACTCTTTATGTGTTATGCATGAGATCCTTGGTTAGGTGCTATATGAATATAATTCATGATTATTTCCACTGCGTAGTACCTATAATCCCCTACAGTGGTATCAGTTAGCCTCTTTCAATTACATATATTGGGTATTAAACCTTTGTTAATCCACAATTTTAATTCAATTAGGAGGGAGAATAATTTAATTATGGGTCAATTATTATATTAAATGTGATTTAACAATATAGAATCATTAAAGTTGTTTAATTTTCTCCATATTAGCCCTAATTTGATTCGACAATTGCCCTATGAAGTTCAAAAAATTCGAACCCCCCCCCTTAATATTTCAAAATTTTCGAAATCATTAACCCTAATTTGTGAAATTTGTGTTTTTGATTTTGATTTAATTCGAAAGTTTTATGTTTAAAGAATTTAATCTAATTGATTTCATGATAAATTATGAATTTTTCATGATCAACCTATTTAATTCAAAAGTTAAATTGAATTGGGATTAAATTCATGAAGAACCCTAATTTTAAAATTGAATATGATTTAATTTTAAAATTGGATGGACCACACTAATTTTAATTTTAATAATAAAATTGTTTTGTTTTAAATTAAAAATCAAATAAAAAAATAATAATAAAGGGAATTGAGGTGCGGCAGCCGCGGTTGGGTGGCGCGGCCACGACGACTGCCGCACCGGTGGTGGTCCAGGAGGGAGGGCGGCTGGGCACGGGTCAGTCAAAGGGGCAGCGCAGCAGTGCACCACCCCAATAGGTGTGCTGCTGCTGCTGTCCGGGCATCGCTGCAGGGGCAGCGCACACCGCAAGGTGTGCGACCACCATGGCCGGCTTTGGCTGGCCACACCACGGTGGCTGACGCAGGTTTTCAAAATAAAAAAAAATTATTTTATTTTATTTTATTTTGGATAAAATCAGTTTTCAAAATTAAAATTAAAAGATAAGTTTTGATTTTGAGAGGATAATAAACAAAATTAAAGTTGTTGATTTTGTTAAGATAGGATAATTATGGAGCAAAAGATTCTATTTGGATAATAATTGATTGAATAATATGATTATCCCATAATTATTTTAGGATATTAATTGATTTAAAATATGTGATTGGCAAGTAATTAGGATAGAATCTCCTAAAATTTAGGATAATCATGGAAGATAAATATGATTTATCTTCCATAATTAAAATAAGATTTGATTCTATCTCATACCTAAATTAAAATATATGATATTTTATAATTGGTCATGAATAATATATGATATTATCTAATTACGGTAATTAATTAATTAATTAAAATATGAGATATTTTAGGAGCCATGTTTCCTTTACTGTGAACATTCGATGTTGTAGTTTAGGAAAGCATGATGAGTGATTTATTATATGGAATTTTATAATATATGATGTTATATATTGCTA